TGAAGTCTGCTCAGTCCCATAATAAACAACGAATGATCCGAATTGAAAGAATATCCGCAAGCATTCGCGCATCATTAAACCTAGGGTTCCACCCTGCAATCATTTCGAAGACTTCTTCACCAAACAGCCCTTCATAGGCAGCCTCGTAACTACGGCACGCAGCGTCCATCTCTTGACGAAATTCAGCAAAAACGCCAAGTTTAAAGTCGTATCGAACATTCCAGCCCTGGAGCGACAAAGTCTGTGAAGTCCCGCTGGTAGGTGGTGCAGTGGGGGGAGGGATGGTGCCTCGATTTTTCTTTCGTCTGGCATGCTTCGAGAGATCCCTATAGTACTCAACGCTTGGGCCTCGCAAATTGGCGAAGAGAGCTTTGATAAATTCGCTGATATCTAACTGTGATGGCTCGGGTTGGACAACGAAAATACTTTTCATATCAAGGTTTGTCGCCATCCTGATACCGGCGATCCGATCATTTGCATCCTCTGGTAATGGCCCATCGTCACAAAGCAAAGCAACAATGAACCGTGTCTTGTACCCGGATGCCGCCCATTTCTTCCGTAAACTGTTAATTTCTATCTTCAATTGGTTATCACCAAGGGAGGCCATGTTCGTATCAGTCGTGAATGGGAAGAAATTGATGAAGGCTGCGGGGATCAATGCCTGGTGCTTCGTCACCCATTGTGGGGTCATGATTCCGTCCGGAAATGTCGGGGAACTTGGTGTCAGGGGAGATATCGGTGAGTGAAGCACGATGGGAGAAGCAGCGGTATTACTAGGTGCACCCGAAACACTGCTAGATAGGGGCGACCTGGGCAGAACGGGACCTTTTCGGGGAGGCAGAGTATAAGTCTATAACAATAGTCAGTACGCCCGTAAGATATTCATGGTTATGCAAAGCAAACTGGAGGCATCAGGTCCACGAGAACTAAGTGTCGCACAAGTTTGCCCATTCGGATAGGATGGACAGCATATGAATCGCCCGAGGAGCGCTGACCTACCCGCCCAACCCTCTTAATCTTATACCCAACATCCCCGGCCCTAGCATTCCAAGGCCTGTGCGTTGCATCCTGGCTGAGGAGAGCATTCAGCACTCTCTCCGCCGTCGAATCAGTCAGGAGAGGGAAATCGGAAAATATCTCGACGCCGCCTTCCCGTAGTTGAGGATACTCAACGCCATCATCTGGTGTGATCCCGTCCTGAGAATTAGCTTCAGGATCAGATCCGAGGCCAGAGAGCAGAATGAGCGGGAGGTTGTGGTCCACGTAGTCAGGCGGTAGAGCGTCCATTACTCTGGACGAGCTGCGGGAGCGGTTTATGGCGGAGGATGGATGATGGCCAACGAATGCATTTCCAGTATTTCCGATGTTACCACTTAAAATGGATAGGCCATTGCCCAGTGAGGCTTGTCGGAGAAGTAGGCTAAGCTCCTGCGGCGTAATCCGTAGCAAGTTGACACTGTGAGAGAGGATTGAGCAGTATCGGGCTGATAAAACTTGTGACGTTGAGTTTGGCAAGGTTTTGAGGCTCTCTTAAATAAACCCACGCTCGGGAGCCCTTCTTCCACGGAAGAAAATGGCATGGCATAATTTAGTATGGTAGAGTTTATGAGCATCCCCATCTACTAACTTACGATACGATCAAATATTCACATTGGCGATGGATTTCATTACTCCGTGCATACAGAATACTCCAGAGTCAAGCTATATCGTCATTGTCGTGCGTATTTTAAACTCTATCACCAGAGTCCATTCCACATCCAAGGTCACGGATTTAAGGCTCCTGAGAATGTAAAGGATAATACAGGAAAAAAGTTCACAAAGCGGATATAAAAGTATACGCGACTTGCCTCTGTTGTTCCCGGACTTTGCAAGACCACACCGTGTCAAAATCTGACTCCAGTTCTAAACAATTGGGACTGAAAGGAGGTGGATTCACGTATTCCTCAAGATTAACTTGGGGTGCCCTTAGTGGGAGTCCGGGCCTTCGCGTTGTCCGTAACGATATAGTTAACTAACTACGCAATTATGAATATGTAAAACAGCCTGGCATATGAAGGTATGGAGGTATGGAGGTACTGGTAGTTAACATATTTTTGGAGTCAGCAAGACTCGAGATGGAAGTACAAAGTCAATAATCCGGATAGGAGTATCCAAGTTTCACCCCGCCGGAAACCACCAAAGGAAACCGCTGCGGATTTTTGTATGTTCGAATGGAATAGCGGGAGAAGCCCAATTGTCGGTTTCAAGGGGCCCGATTTTTTTGAGTGGCCGGATGATTTTGTCCGGATCTGAAACTCTCGATGTGACAAGCCGCAACATCTCGCGAGACGGGCGCTGAGGTGTCAGCTGGATAGAGCGTAGGTAAAAGTCCAATGGCATGGGCTGTACAAGGTTTGCAAACCTCATCGACGTCGTAGAAGTTAACGGGGTTCACAACTCCCTGCTCGGAACCGTGGCAGGAGTAAATAAAGGGGTTCAAAACAGAAAAGCCCCAGATCAAACGAGCCCAAGGATCGACGCCACAGCCATCCAAGGGTCCATGGCCCGAGATCTCAACACGATTAACGGTGCATTGGTGCATACACACCAACCGAATGCGGCAAACAAATGTATCACACGCAGGTTTCTCCATGCACTGCGACAGCACTCAAGGCCTGCCACTGCAGGATCTTGCAGAACGCCGTCTAACCCTGGCAGCGATGGTGGGGAGGAGTGCAGCTGCAAACTAGCCGACCAAGGTTTTGCTAGATGTGTGGCATGCCCTTTACTACTCGTTAGCTGTATCAAGGAGCGCCGTTGATCTGTCCCGGGAAGTGTGGGGGAAAATCGAGTGGCAATTGGGAGGAGGGAAATAACTATTGAGTCTGTGGGGGGCAAAGAGGAAGCCCATCGCCATACAGAGGACAGCATCCTGATATCCAAGCCTGGCTGGCGGCGTAGGTTTGCCCGTCTCTCCTCCTATCAACTCGTCGTCACATTGCCCTCGTCCTCTGCTTGTACCTTTCGCCTCAATCTCGTACTTGTCCGAAACATCAGATTCCGGGCGCACTGCACAGAGCTTGTCTTTTTACCAAGATCTAACGACCCTCCTAATTCCCCTGGCTGCCAGATCATCTTGGCGACAATACGCTGGGTCTGCAGGTACAGTCCCAACGCTAGGGTTGCATCTCACCTGGAAGTCAGCCCTGGCACAGATTTGCTTTTTTGGTCAAGTCTTAAACTCCCTGGATATCGATTCGACGGTGGAGTCCCAGAGACATCTCCCGATGAGCAGGTTCATTTGATTGACCTGGCCGGCCAGAAAAGGAAGACGGCGGGAAACACAAGGGAAGCGCAGGAAAAAGAAAAGAAAAAAGAGCTAATAAATCAGCGCGGGATCCGCATTTCACTTTAGCCTTTGGATTTTTTTTAGAGCCTCTGTCACTTTTCTGACTTTCTCCTTATCGTCGTGAAATCATATTCCGTACAGACCAACAGACGATCCTGCTGCACAGCACGAACTCCCACGATCCATTGCGACGACCTTCTACGAACGGTCGAAATATCGATTATTCTCAATTGCCTACGTTTGTGGTTCTTCGGCCACCTCTATTATCTATCTTAGCACCCACTGCCGGCGGGTCCAGGGCAAAAGGGGGAAAACCCATCAAATCCGAACTAGGCATGCTAGCGTCTGTTGAAGAAAGTTATCGCATCCCAAACTCGCTCGAGTTCTGCGATTCGTGACTACGATTCACAGACACACACACGTTCTGTAACCTGCTGTTGTTCGCAGCCTTTATGCACATCCTGCAGCCATGCAGGACACAATGGGTTCTCCGCATCGATCTGAACCCCAACCAGACCTTGCCCACCGCCGGAAAAGCATGCCCGTCCGGGCTGCCAACGCCACAGCCCACAGGCACATTCCACCTGCCTCTCCCGAAGTCATCTCGTCCCTGATCTCGTCCCTCTCCGCTATTTCCACTCCTGCCCTGTCCCACTTCGATAATTTCCCCGAAATTGGCTCGCGCACCGCTCCTTCGTCGCCTGGCTTCCGGCAGACGGAGTTCTCTCGCGATGGCTGGGACGCAAACCTGACTACGAGCCCAGGGTTTGGAATGGATTATGGTGCCTACAGGACTGTAGTCGACGAGGAGGAAAATTCATTTTTACATCCAGACGATGCTGCGATCTCCCCTGTGGTGCGAATGGCAAAAGCTCCTGCATCCCCTCGTTCCCCGCGATCCCTCTGCTCCCCACGCAGCGCTCCTGGCGATTCCTCCCCGCTGCGGACAGGCTCTAGAGCCTCAATGGCTTCCTCGATTGCCGGTCCAGATGATGGACTGGGTTTTGGCGTGCCCAGCTTGGAACCTGGCCCTCGAATGTCTACCGCAAGCATCGCATCTTCGAGCAGTGGTGGTCGCAAAAGTTTGAAGCACCAACTCAGTCTCCTGCAGAGGTGTTCGAGGGAATTTGCCAAGGATAAAGATAGTGATCGATTTCAAAAGGGAGGAGATGGAAAGTTAAACAATTCTCGTAGCCGGCTGAGCTTGCGCTCGACGCCCTCAATGGCCGATTTGGCGGAAGAAGTGAGTTTGAATAACGGCGTTTTCCAGCTACTCGAAAAGCAATTAAATGAAAATAATCGTCGCGAGTCTGCTCCGAGTCTTGGTACACAACGGTCCATCCCTGACACAGGCAATGGCAGCCCTGGTGGGATTGGAAGCGGAAGAGTCATTCCCACTCGTGAATCCTCCTTGCGTCACAGCTACAATGGGAGTTCTAATAAAAGACGGCGCTCAACTCGCCACAGCGTGTATTCGAATCGAGATTTTACTATCGATCGTGATATTGCTGAGGTAAATGCGGAAGACGATCAAGTTTCGAAACGAATACAAGAACTCAAAGAGCAGCAGAAGAGGATCAAAGACGAATTGCAGACAGACGGAACACCAGATGCCAATTCGCAATCCCGGACACCGCAGCCGAGCCCTAATCAGCCGGCAGCCCAGCATACGGCCGTCACGAAAGAAACAATTTTAGTCCGACAATCTGTTCACACCGTATCCGACCAGCCGCTGAATGTAGTCGATGAAATGCAAGCAGAGCAACACGAAAGCGCGCCCTCGCCTGCCATTCTAACCCGCAAATCACAGACAACAAAAAAGCGCAACAGTGGACCGCTCTCGTTGAAAACTACAAATATCCAACCGGCATCAAGTAAACAGTCCTTCGAAAAGCCCGATCGTATTGACCCAAGGCGAAAGTCAACGCAGAACAACCATCCTTCAGAATCAAATCACCGACGGACAAGGTCAGGCGCAATATCACCTGGTCCTAGGCTATCTTTAGGACAGGAAGAACGACCGTCCAGTTCGGATTCTATCGATGATGCAGTTTACGACTATCTATCCTCCCCGAGACTTACGCAGAAGGTCAGACATCCACATACGGGACGAATAATTGCGTTCTCAGAAGTTGGTGATCCGAAAGGTTATGTGGTATTCTGCTGTGTGGGCATGGGCTTAACGAGATATTTAACTGCCTTTTACGACGAGCTTGCTCGGACGCTCAAATTACGATTGATCACGCCAGATCGACCCGGTGTTGGGGAGAGTGAGCCCTGTGTTGATGGCTCAGGGACGCCTCTTAGTTGGCCAGGTATGATTCTATGCACTTCCCACGTTTTACACACTCTAGTTTTCGGAGGACGTTGTTGATGTTGATTCACTGATAGATGACGTCGCCATTATTTGCAATTTCCTTAAAATCACAAAATTCTCCATGATGGCCCATTCCGCTGGGGCGATATATGCCCTCGCAACCGCATTGCGAATGCCGCAACATATCCGAGGCCGGATACATCTACTAGCACCATGGATACCGCCATCTCAAATGACCAGCATGGGTTCGCACAAAGAACCACTTCCAGCCGGCGCTGTTCCATATTCCCAGAGAATCCTCCGTGCTTTACCCACCCCTTTCCTCAAAGTCGCCAATTCCAGTTTCATGACAACAACCAGTGCCAGCATTACCAGCAGCCTCCCCAAGAATTCAAGACGGACCAAACGACGCAGCACAACTATAACCGGCACCGGTGATGCCGGGTTCAACAACTTTATCTCGCAGCAACGCCAGAATTCCTTATCCCCGCCTCGAGACCCAACCAAAAGGGATTCCCAAGAAATCGTCTCCCGCGTGACCGCAAACCCATCCGATCCGAAAGCGGAGTCCGCCATCATCGCCGCAGCCGCAGCCATCGACAAGGAGCGCCAGTCAGATTACGACAACCGCCTCACCCACGCTATCTGGGAACTAGCCACGACAAATGCCAACCCAGCCGTCGATCTGCTTGTCTGCCTCGAACGGCGCCAAACCATTGGATTCCGCTATGTCGATATCAACCGCGCTGTAGTCATCCACCACGGCACGAGGGACACGCGGGTTCCTGTTGATAATGTGCGATGGCTGGGTAAGACGATGCGGCGGTGTGAATTGCGGGTTCTCGAAGGGGAGGGCCATGGGCTTATGGCCTCAGCGCTTGTGATGGGGAATGTGTTGATGGAAGTTGCGAAGGAGTGGGAGGATTGGACAACTGTTGTCCAAGGGAGGAGGGAGGGGGGCCGAAGGGCGACGGTTACGGCTAACAAACACTGATTTCTTTTGTTTGGTTTGGCTGTTACACACTCTCAGGCTTCCTCCCCCGCTGCAGCGGCTGACCCACTTATCCATTTATCTAATTACTTTGTTCATTTGCTCCGAAGGCCCTTTGGGTCAATCTTGTTTTCAACATTTTTGATCGTGGAATAATTTTTTCTTTGTTGCCGCTTTTCTCCTTTGATGCATGATTTTCCGTTTCTCGTCCCCTATCCACTTTAGCCCTTTGGAAAAAGGAGTAGATGGAAAAGCCCGATAAGTAAAGAGAAGGAAGTGGATTAATTTTTGTGTGAAACTCGTTTGGTATTTCTTTTTTCTTTCCCCCCCCCTTTTTTTTTGCCAACCACTCTTCTCATACTATGTATTTGGGTTTCCCCAGTTTCATTTTTTCATCCCTATACCCCAATTTTTTGAGTCTCGTTTCTTAGTCCCCTTTCCTGTCCCTCGAAGCCCACTCAGTCATCCGCACATCCTTCCTCTCAAAGACCTATCTGCTCGTGATGCAATGTAAGATGGGATGTTTTTGAGATATTCTGTTTATGCCCTCCATGTAACCAACCTCCGACTAATATCTACCTCAGCCTTGTGCCCCATGTTGAAGATTCCCATACTTTTGATTCATAATCTATTCCTAGTTCTGTCTTATGTATTCCCTTTCTTTTATTCATTTTTTGTCTCCTCTCTCCTTGTCATTTTATTATCATGTCTCCTTTATCCCTCCCCATGGCCCCCCCACCCCCACACACACATATATTACCTTCTAATTCCTTTCTTCCCTCTTCAAAATCTTCATAGCATTTTCATTTCCCCTCAGGACCATCCTTTTCTTTTAATTTATCGTCTTGGGTTTTCTAATTTTTTTTTTTGAAGTTTTTGTCAATCTTCCTTTATTTGATTCCCCCTTTCCTTGCCTTTTTCACCGCCACGGAGTTAAGTGTAATGTACGTACCTATTGAGATTCGAATGCTGAATTATTATTGTTTTATTGGTTGGTCGTGAAGCGAAAGAAAATCTTAATATCCTCTACTCTGCGGAGCATTATCATATATACATATCGTGTCGCTTATCATAAAAACAATAGTTGTATGGTCCCCACGCAACTCCTCCCTCGTCCCCTTGGGAACCACCAACAAACAAACAAACGCGTTGGGGTCTCACACATTTCAACAAGTCGAGTGACAAATGTTTACTTCTATAATTCAGAGTTACAACAAAAATCCCCCATGGATATTGTCTACCTCCCTTTATTCCCATACCGAATTACGTTTCAAATGGGCTACTAAGTTTTGGGGGTGCATGATTGCTTCCCCATCCGCGGGAACAAAATACCCGCAGGGAAGCAGGAAAGAAAGCCGGCCGCGATTAGGATCATCCTATGGCGAATGTGAGGACTTAGCGGCCTTTCCAATGCCCCATTTGGCCATTCAATCACGGAGATACTTTGGCAAAAGAAGAGTGAAGGCAATGTACATACACTGATTCCATGACAATGAATGAGGGCTCATGCCGCATAATGGGGTTTCTGGAGCTTTATCAGTATGGTAGATGTATAGGTTTTGTCTCCATCGAACTTTTGCGAGGACTTACCCCCAGCCTCCAGCCATCTCTGCAATGCTATTCACAGTCAGCGGCTCGGGCAACCGAGAAAGGGCGATTTGGGCAGTTTTTTACTCACCGGTATACGCATCTAGCGTAGATGGTTAGATACGCTATTGACACAGCGCCGGCGAAATTGCGGAATTTCCCGTCCCTCCATGCCTCCCGTTCCCCATCGGTGGAAACCGATGTGCGATGGTAACGGGATACGCGCCAATAGTAGTCCAGGGCCACTATCCCGAAAAGCGAGAGTACGCCAACCTGAAGGCCGATGCCTGCCATGATTATGCGATTACCATTGTCCAACAGGCTTTTATCATTCTTCTGGTCGCCACTCGCTGCCACACCGCCACCAATTCCTTGCAAGACAAGACAGCTTATATCACACGGGATAAAGATCCACGTGTATAGGTAGGGCTTTATGCGGGAAATCCCAGGGCCCACGGCGAGAGCAGCATGCTTCAGAATCAGGTAAACAGCAGCGCAGAGGAAGGTCGGCCCGAGGATGATGGTGACGATTTGAAGGGTGAACCCCGTCCCCCACGGATTCTTGTATATCAGAATCCTCCC